ATCATAAATAATCCAGTAATTCTTGGGAGTGTGCATTGTTTTCGAAGTAAGTTTTGCACAAATTCTTTAACAGTAGAACATTTATCTAGGGCCTAGGTTTAGGTCAAGGAAAGCTAATTATTCCTTTTTCAGAAAGTCCCTCTGCAGTGTAGTGTTAAATTATGAATTCTATCAAAAGTATGCTGCTGCATTCGCGTAATATAAACATTGTCACGTATAAAATGCATTCGTGTATACTTGTTGATTTTGTTTTTGTTTTTGTTTTTTCATATAGAAAAAGACCTTTCTTCTTTTAATTGTTCCACCAGATTTTGCATGAACCCATTTCAAATAGACCAATATGCGATACACTTTTCTAAATTAAAAAAAAAGAGTAGATGAACTTCAAAAATAATTTTATTATTTTTAACCACAAGTCTAATCTTACAAGCATTCAAACATTTATTTGTAGTTGATGAGATTTCAAAGAAAATAACATTTTTAAAAACTCAATTCTGTTGACTACAAACAGGCACCATTTTTTTCAGTTGCTGGTCGACATTTTCAAAACAAAAAAATAAAGTAGATACACTTTTTAAAATAATTACATGTCTTAATAAAAACATTAGAGACATTTTGCAGTTGATGGGATTTCGCGGGGAAAATGTTTTTAGCCAATAGTTCCTTTCAGTTGCCAGTCGACATGAGCCAAGTTCCGTTCAGTTGCTCAAAGTCGACATGAGTTCAGTTCCTTTCAGTTGCGTTCAGTTCCTTTCAGTTGCGCTGAGCGCTCATGTCGACGAGTTGAGTTGAGTTGAGTTCCTTTCAGTTCCGTGTCGACCTGAGCCTGCCTTAAGACTCCTGCGACTTGTGCAAAACTTGGGACCCTGCTGTTCATTTGTACATCTAAAAAGTTAGATGATGTATTATTCCAGAGGGCGCTGTTTCTTTTTCTATGAACAGATAATGTAATCCAAACTGTATTGTGTTTAAATTAGCAATATTATGTAGATACATACTCATCAATATTATATGTATTTATAATTGCACTTCATTATAATTGATGAAATATTGCATGAAAAAAGGGCACAAATTCTTCCAAACTAGAAGATGACAATCCTGATCATATATATTTTTTGAAAGAAGATATTTAAAAAAGCATATAAATTAGAGATGCAAGCTAGTTTGGTCTAATTATTTTGAGTATGTAATTTGTCCTGCAATTTGAAATTACAGGAATAATTTGGAATGTATAATTTATTCAAACCTTTTAGTGCATTGTATTGCCTAGTATTTATTCTTGTTGTATGTATATCACCTTGTTTGTAGGTTTATTTCAGATTTGTATTCATCAAATTTCTGTTGTCTTTTTATTGAATCTTGGCCAAATTCTGTGTCTTCCAGAACATTCCATTGTATTGTTATTATTATTATTTTTTTTTTTTTTTTTTTTTTTTTTTTTTTTTTTTTTTTTTTTTTTTTTTTTTTTTTTATTATTATTTTTTTTTTATTGTTATTGTTATTTTTTGTTAACATTGTTATTATTAATTTATTATTCCTATTAATTTATTATTATTAATTTTAATGGTATTAATATCATTGATATTTAATATTATATAATTATTAATATTATTAAAGTTATATTATTATTACTATTATTATTATTATAATTATTATTAATTTTTTTTAAATTGTTATTGTTATTTTTGTTATTAATATTGGTATTATTATTAATTTATTATTCCTATTAATTTATTATTATTAATGTTAATGGTATTAATATTATATAATTATTAATATTATTAAAGTTATATTATTATTATTATTATTATTATTATTGACTATGAGTATTGGTTTCATTTTTATTGTTAGCCACTATCATCATCACCAGCATTATTTTTTTTGGTAATTATTGTCATTTATTACCATTATTATAGGTATATGTATATTGTGAATTATTTTATTGTCATTGTTACTATAATGTTATTATTTTTTTTACAAGAATGTTCATAATTATCATTTACATTTTATTTACTGTTATTACCTTTTTACTACTTTATTAAATTTTTGATTTACATTCTCAAATTATGATTGTGTTTGAATTATTACTTACTGTGCTGTTTATATTATATTTGCATTTGTGTATTTATGAATTATTTTGTTTAAATTGAATATTTATGATAGCTGCATGAATGAAAGAGGAATTTTTACTATATTTCCTTGTTTCCATTTATTTTCTTTTATTTTCAAAGTACTAAAGTGAATAAGGAATCTTCAAAAAAGTTTGCCATTTATAATTCCATTGTTTAAACCTTTTGAAATATGGTTCATATTTTTGGACACAAGGTATTCAGAAAAGCAACATTTTACGATTTAATTATTTTAAATTGTATTTATTCATATCATGTGCATATCACTAAATAAAAAATGGAAATCAATGTTGATTGATCAACTTAATGGACCAATTTGACCAATCAGAATTAAATTAGGTAATATTGATGCACCTGATTGGTTAACATGTTGTTATAATAACAGGAACATTGTAATTTGTATGCATCAGTTTATAATTGTTTATATTTGTTACTTTGTGTACTTTTGTTTGGCATTTCATAAGATGCCAAAAGAGCATGTGTTTGATTCCAAGGTGCATGTTGCTAATAATGAATGTATAAATTATAAATATGCATAAATGATTAATTCTATCATGCGTTGTAATATATTGTACAGATACGGTGCCAGATTGTATATTGATGATATTATACTTTGTAAAATTTAAGGAAAAATGGTTCTAATTATTATCTATTGAATCCATCAGTATTTGACCAATTGCCTCGAAATCTGTCAGATTATTAATATCTTTAATATAATTTCAAAAATGGTAGTGAATAATTTGTTTTCACTATTTTAATTCATCGCATTCCCTGGAATGGAATATGGTTTCAATATATTTAATATTTTTAATTGTTAGGGGTTGGTTTCAATTTTGATTACAATTCCTGATTTTGGTATTCATTTTATATTTGATATTTTCCAAAAACTTCAGTACAACTCTTTGAAAAATTGTTCATTGTTTTTATGGCAGAGGTAGACAAAGTTTCTTGAAATCTATTTTTTATACTCATAAAGTTTTCACTATGAACACCCTTTAAACATTGCAGAAATCTTCTAAGAAATGGCATTGCAATTCACATGACCTTAGCTCCTGGTTCAACCTTAATGAATATTCATATGTGAGAGTAGCTAATTTGCATAAACTAGGCATACATGTGTATGTTTTTGTTTTGCTAAAGCGTGCTTGTATGCATAATCAAACTATATAAAATATGATCTTGTGTTTATGTATATGTGTGCCTGCATATATATACATATGGTATATATTATGTTAATATATATTTATATATATATATATATACAAATATGTTTGTTTTTATTTATACACACCTGCAGATTGGAATACCACAGCCATTATGAATTCTTAAGTTATTAGATTGTCTAATTAACATAATTACCTTTAGTATATAACAGTCTTATATACACTGATAATTTATTTTGATGGTTTCCTCGTTTTTATGTGTCTGAGATTTTGTTGAATGAAATGAGGGACAAAATAATAGCAACAAAAGAACATGATCTTCTGCTGTGTGTTTGTTTTTGATTTGTGGTTGCATTATATATAGGACATAACAAACAACAATTTTTAACATTGATAGTTTAACCTCAAATAGTAGGGAACATGCCATTGTACACAAAAGTCAATTTTCCAACGATGTTAAGTTTATAAATTCGTGGACGAGATTGGTAGGTCGAATTCAGAGAACAATTTGAAAGATTCCTAACGCTTTATTCAATTTCTGTTGACAAAAATTACAAGAATATAATAAATTATTTATTAAAAAAATGATACAGAAGATTTGAAATGTGATGTTAAAGATTTTTTTTAATGTAATAACTAAAACAAAAATTATATATATATATATATTAAAGATAAATAGATATTGGTCATTATTTAAAATACGTATTTAAACGTTGTACACAAGTTAAAAACTAAAGATAATAGTAATGAAAATAATTTGAAAAGATAACTTTATGATGATGATAATGATGATGATTGATGATGGTGATGATGATGATTTGTAATTTTAAAATGCGTGGCCTTACGCTAAAATTTGTGCCGTTTGTTAAAATTATAAATATTTTTTGGTCGAGAGGCCTTCTAAAAGAATCAGCATAAACATCACAATAGCAAAAAGACTCTTTACCTTTTAAAAGATTTGCAACCAACAGTAACTACCGAGTCGGAAGTGAAGTTGGAGAAGAGCAGGTGTGGCCTTACGCTAAAATTTGTGCCGTTTGTTAAAATTATAAATATTTTTTGGTCGAGAGGCCTTCTAAAAGAATCGGCATTGGATGCTTGGACTGTATTCTCAGGGTAGCGGAAGATGGGGCAGAACTAAACAAGTTCTAAACTAAATTTGTGAAATGAAGAACACATCTAATAATTGAATCTTTAAGTTCATACAAGGCCTGTTGATTAGAATTGTGACAACATTATCTACAGATAAAAGGAGTAAGAAAAGGGTTTTTCTGTTGTCAGAAAAAAAGCAATATTTTAGCAATTTAAACCAAATTGGAACCCCACCAGTCATTGAGGTGGATCCCCAGTAGGGGATTGCTGTGATTGTCCCTCAAACAGTTAAAGAGGCAGGGTTCACCATTAATATAATATGCTCTACTTGGAGTTTCAACACAATTCTAGTCAGTCAAGAGGCTGAACATTTCAGCTCAACAGTTCTCTGCTACATATACAGTGCCGCAAGCCCCAGTGAGTAGTTTTAATTTACTACCA